TTTCCAACGGAAAGAGGAGTCAGACAAGGTGACCCTCTCTCTTATCTGCTGCACATTTTTGTCGCCGAAGATTTTACTTTGGTGATCAGAGCGGACAGCAGGATAGAGGATTTCCCACTACCAGGAACACCGAAACCCCTTAAATTACCGCAGTACGTAGACGATTCGAACTTTTTTGCCAAGGACGTAAAATCTGTCAACTTATTTTTGAAAACGTAAAACTGTTTAAAAAAGCATATGGTTCTGTGATCAATGCCTCAAAACTCAAGAGTCTCGCTTTTTGGGGTTTTGATCCTAAAATGTACCCAAAATGGAACGAATTTGAGTGGGACAATAACACTGGTTTCAAAAAATTAGGTGTTACTTTTTACACCAGACTGAGAGTAAAACTACCAATTTAAACTGGTTAGTAACTAAGTAAAGAAAAAACTCAAGTTTCTGGGACTACGTACTTGTCACTTGGGGAAGAACTATGTTGATAAATACGCTAGCAATGTCAAAAGTGTAGTTTCAGACAAACGTTTTGTCTATTCCTGAATGGGTAATAGAACGTCTGTAAGAACCATTTCCTAAAATCTGTTGAAAAAGACCAATTACAATTCGGTCAAGAGAAAGACACTTTTTATACCCGTTAAAAGCGGAGGTCTTGGAATTTTATCACCGAAGTAGCAAAGTCTTGCTCTTTGCCTCAAAACACTCTTTCAACTGAAAGAATGCGTAGAGAACCAAACCCACAATTATTACTACTTTTCAAAGTATTGGTTGGCAAATTCGCTTATAAAGTTTACAAACCAAAACCAAAGCTGGAATTTTTTAAGGCAAAACACAAAACGTCTCAGTATTACAAAACAACAATTAAAATATTAGGCAAAAACGGGTCCCTGTTTAACATCCCTATAAAATCAATAAACTTTTACTTAGAACTTTTACTTGGTTTTGAAACTTTTACTTTTTAAATATCGATGGGTATAGCCTATATCGTAAAGATCGTCAAGACGGACGTCGAGGTGGCGGTGTAGCTATCTACATTGCAGACGCATTTAATTCTCATGAAGTTAACCAATTTTATACAAATCTACTCGAACAAGTCTGGGTATCAGTAAAATTTAACAACAAACATATACTTATTGGTTGTATATACAGACCAAATGATGCTAGTTTAATAAAATATGTCGCTGAATCCTTCAAATTAGCTCATAGTTTAATTAAAAAGCCCTACGCTACCCTACATCTACGATGACTGTTTGATTGTCGGTGACTTTAACCTCCCGAATATAAATTGGTCTAACGATGGTATTATATCTTTTAACCCAAACAATTCTACCGAGTATGATTTCTGGAATATTTTACAAAACAGCCTTTTTACACAACATATCACATTTCCTACTTTCCAGACTGATTATGGTTCCTCAAATAATATGTTGGACTTGTTATTTACCTACAACAGTAATTCTGTTTTAAACTTGTCTCCTAGTACTATACTAGGTAATAACACTAAGGGTTATTTTAGTATCACTTGGAGATTCTTAGTTTCAGAACTGTTCACCGAAAGTGAATCTCAATCGTCTAATTACAAAAAAGATGATTACGATTCAATATTTAACTTTATTGAATCAATCGACTGGGAGTTTTTATTTCTGCATAAAACTGTAGATCAAATGTTCAATATACTAATTTCTACCTATCGCACTGCTTGCACATACTTTATTCCCAAGATTAATAAAACAAAAAAAAGTATGATCCTTGGGTTACCCCACATATTAAAAACCTGATCCGAGCAAAAAAATCCGCTCGGCATATTAACTGCTCTACCAAATGGGAGAATAGTGAGCTTAAAATAAAATACGATCAGCTTAATCGTTCAGTAAAAGCTGAAATATTTAAAGCAAAAAAAGCACATGAAAAAAAAATAATATCAAAATCCCAAAACAATCTAAAACTCGTTTACAAATATATCAACAAACAAATAAAAATTAAAGATCGAATTTGCTCTCTCAAAGATACTTCTGGCAGAATTATTGAAGCTCTTCCTGATATAGTTGATCTTCTGAACTCTCAATTTGAATCTATGTTTACACTTGAAAGCTCTGAAAATTTTCCTTTGCTAAATAACAGTGGTATTCATTCTGAATGCATTTATAATGAAAACTTGGATTTCTCTATCCCAGATATTATTCAGGAACTTGCCGATCTAAGCCCTTATAAATCCTTCGGATTTGACGGCCTGCATCCCTTAATACTCAAGATATGTGCCAAAAGCTTTGCAATTCCATTAACAAAAATCTTTCATGAATCCTTTAATTCTGGAGTAGTACCCAGTCAATGGAAATTAGCAAATATTAGTCCGATCTATAAAAAAAAGGGAGATAAATTACTTGCTGAAAACTATAGACCTATTTTCACTAACACCTGTTGCCTGTAAAATCTTCGAAAAAATATTTGCCGATGATACTAAACTTTTTTCTAAAAGCTTATCCCAATCTAATTTTGTTGATCTGCAGGATCGTCTACGCTTGGTATACGAGTGATCAAACACTTGGTTACTTAAGTTAAACACCTCAAAATGCTGCGTCATTCATTACGGTCAAAACAACCCCCATAACAATTACTTTCTGCAAAATAACCAAGGAATCAACCAATGTCTAAGAAGCTCTACTGAAGAACGTGATTTAGGAGTCATTTTTACATCTAACCTCAAGTGGAGCGCTCATATTCAAACAGTTGTAAGTCCTTACAAATTCTTGGTATGCGGAAAAAGACATTCATTTTCATTGATGAAAAAATGGCTCTCAAATTATATAAAGTATTTATAAGACCACATCTTGAATATGGAGTGTCCATTTGGGCTCCTTATTTAAAAGCTGATATGGCTTTGGTTGAATCTGTTCAACGCAAAGCAAAAAAATGGGCTTACAGCTTGAGGCATCTTTAAATCTACCATCACTTGAGTTTCGACGCCTTCGATGCGATTTAATCCAAATTTTTAAATTAACACATCGTTTTGATATAGTTAATGATAAATATCTACCAAAATATATTAACTCTATGTCTCGTGGTCACCATTCTAAAATAAGGCGTGAGTATGTTCCAAACTGTCTTCCAAGATATAAACATTTGTATAATAGATCAGCAAAATACTAGAACGAGCTACCGGAGCAAATAACTTTGTACTCCACTGTACTTTCCTTCAAAAATAGACTAGACTCCTGGTTGTGGAATAAGTTTGAAGCAAATATTTATAAAACTGGTTGTTTATAGTGGGGTGTTTTCCCTGCTCGCTGTATATGTACATTCTATGTAAATTTACGGCTACAACTATAATAATAATAATAGAAGTGGCTAGAAATAAAAAGACAGTCGTGCCAACAGAACTTTTTTGGAACAGTTCAATAAAAACAAAAATGCCTTGGAAATTTGGAAAAAAAACTTCACCTCCCACGCATGCGGACCGACACAAAATTCTCTTTTGTTTTTTACACAACAGTCTATATTCTGCGGCCTTGCTTGCCAAAAGCAAAGGGAACTGATCGTTTAAAACAACAAATGCATTTAAATTAATTCATAGCTATGAAAATATTCATAGCTATAATATTTGAATTTCAAAAAGTTATGTTTCCTTAGATTACAATAAGAAATTTATTGTTATAAATTTTTTTATTTGCAAAATGTCAATGTAGTACGCTGTAGCGTACTTTGGGGCACTTTTTTAGTGTCCGACATTATGGGTATGCACGTCCTTTAGAACATGCATCATTTTTTCTTATAAATACATATGCACAATCTAATCTAATTGGTTCAATAATATTATAACGCGCTTGCAACGGCACTTTGTTGTAACAACGTAACTTGAACACTTAGTCAAAAAATTAAATGTCATTTCATAAGCATTCAAAACTAAATGCACAATTCAAAATAAGCCCTAAGTGATTTGTAAAACAACACGTGCGCAACAAATGTTCTTCAGGTTACTTTACTTTACGCTACTGCTTACACCATCAGTAAATGCCTGAAATTCACGGATTTATTAATGGCGTTTTTTTTAAAAAACAAAAAACAAAAGCACACGGGCAAAAAAGAAAAATAAGGTACTTTTATTTAAACCTAATACCTATCACGAAGATTCTTCTGGATTTTCAGGATCTCACGTTATATTTATCTCATAAATCAATACGTGCCAATTTTTTTTTTATATTTTTATATAGGTGCCCCAAGAAGACCTAACGGTCTTTTCACAGAGCACCGTGGAAGTACATTTAACCAGCAAGTTCACGCCTCCTTCCTTACCGTGACGCGAAAATATGTCCAAGGCTCGTTTCGAACCTAGATCTCCGGCTTGTAATGCAAGCGCTCTAACCACTGCACCACGGCCGCACAAACGATATCTATTATCGCAGCAAATGGAATTTTATGCGAAATCTTTACGTTTAAAAACTGCAAAATTTAAGCCAACTACATACAAAATTAAACATTTATTTTAAACTTTTGATTTTGAAGAGCTTGAAAAATTGTATTTTTTTTTCTAACCCCTACCACACGAATGGTTTTTCCGGGTCAGCTTAACTATTTTTCTCCATTACAAAATAATCAGAGAAACACCACAGATGTGATAGAGATTTAGACATTTCAATCAAGTCGGCAATTTAAGACTAATTTTGCGAGTAAAAATAATTTTTTAACTTTCTAACTGTTTTCATCAATTTTTGACCAATAATAAACAATTTAAAACAGAACTTTGCATTCTTTAGAAAACCCACCGGAATTATTTAATGAAATAGTTTAATAGTTGTTTATAATATATTCAACTAATACTATATTAGTATAAATTCTATGTTATAAACCTATAACAGACTCTTTTTACACTCCGCCTAAAAAATTATTATAGACTTCGCATACTTTTAGATATTGCTTTTTAAATTATTTATGTAATATTATATCCTTTAAGAGAGACGAAAGGACATGAAACAATGATAAGTGGACACGAAGGATAAAAAAGAAAGGGCTAAAGACTTAAAACATCTTCAACGGAGTTTCAATTACGTTGCTTTTTCTCCTAATGATAGTTTATCAAGGCTTGGCTCTATGTTAAGACATGTTTCATCTTCGGAATCGTATTGAGAAGTTTCGACCATGCTAAAATCAGCCAAGTTCTTTCTCATTGCAAAAGCATCCTCCCCATCTGCATAATATTTCGGTTCAACCTCACTTTTATCGAATTTTAAAGTCTTTTCGTAGCTACATAACATCAAAAAGATTATATATATATATATATATATATATATATATATATATATATATATATATATATATATATATATATATATATATATATATATATATATATATATATATATATATATATATATATATATATATATATATATATATATAGATTATTACAAATAAAGTTTAAAGTTTGTTATCTTAAAACTCATAAAAAATCATTCTATGGATCATTAATTACAGTATCGGACAAAACAAGTGCAACCAAATAATACTAATTTAGTTTCTTTATATAAAAGTGCTGCATTTTTTTTAATTTAGAGAAATAACTATGTAAATGTTTAGAGACAACGTTCTTCAAGTTTTATTCATCACAAAGTTCATTATTTGTACACAAAAATTAATAAATTAATCAAAAGTATTAAAAAAAGTTGATTTCCTTCTGGACAAAACAAGTGCAACTCCACAAAATGTTGACCAAGCTGTATTTCGCTACCAATATTTCGTAGCGAATCCTTTGTTGTCGACCACAGCTTTGCATCTTCGAGGCATAGATTCGATCAGGTGATAAATGAAACTTTGTGGAATCGCTACCCAGGCCTTTTGGATTTGTTCAAACAGTTGATCCTTATTACGAAAACCTTCACAAATTATTTTTCACGATCTCCCACAGGGTTAAGATCCGGAGATTGAGGCAGCCAATCCATCACCGATATATGGTTGTCTTGAAACACTGCTTGACTACTTTTGCAGTGTGCTCCCAATGATGTTGAACTTCGATTCATCACTGAACAGGACAGTTCGCCATTTCTGCACATTCCAATCAATATGAGATGTAGCAAACAGGAGTCTTTTTTTCTGGTTCTTTAGTGAAATCAGCGGTTTCTTTGCAGGGCGTCGAGAAAATAATCCGGCTTCAACAGCACGTCGTCTGATTGTTCGGTCCGTTACAGGCAGTTCTAATTGCTTTTGTATCACGACTGATGATATCCAGGGATCCTTCTTGACGGATCTGACAATCATAGAATCCTCTCTAGAAGTGGTAGAACGCGGTTTTCCACCTTTGTTATTTGCTGCGAACTTCCCCGTAGAACGATATTTGGAATATAGTCTTGATACGGTCCATTTTTCACGCAATATTTATCACAAATACTTTTTTGTGACATTCCACTTACGTAATCGCCAATAATTTTCTTTCTTAGTTTCAATCCAAGACTGTCGGGAGCCATTCTTGCACTTGAAGTCATAAAAATAATAAAAATAAATAATCACGCTTCTCAAGACTTACCGTGTTACATTTACCTTGTAATGATACAATAATGCTCTGTGGAACACAACATCTTGGTTGGATGTAGACTGTATTGATGTAATGAAACACTTGTTGTATTTCACTTATTGTATTGATGTTCTTTGATAAAACACTTTGATAAAACTCACTTAGATAAACTGTCTCGATAATACTGTCTTGATAATACTGACTTCCATATACTGACTGAATTACATGTCGGTTTACATCTCTTATAAAGTAAAATGAACCTGTGTGAACCTGTTCTGGAAGATTCTAGATGCTTCTTTTCGATGCTTCTGGAAGTTTCTGGATGCTTCTGAATGTTTCTGGATACATCTGGATGCTTTCAGATGCTTCTTCTGGAAACTTCTAAATACTTCTGGAAGTTTCTGGATACTTCCTTTGATTATTTGAAAAAACTTTCGTTTTTTAATAATCAAAGGATGTATCCAGAAGCTGGATACTTCCTTTACTTCCCAAAGAAAGGACGTTGACACGGACCAGACTTAAGAAAATGAAACAAACCAAAAAAATTGCACTTGTTTTGTCCGCTGCAAAATGGCACTTGTCAACGAAATTCTGCCTGTGTGCTATCACCTGTCAGCTGATTGCTCATGTCATGGCATGCTATGACTTCAGACTCCTGAACTGTTTGCTGTGGTAGTATAGTTCTTTTCGTTTTTAAGACATGTAAAATTAGGAACACTTTTTAGTATTGTTCGATATTGGTTGCAAATGTTTTGTCAAATACTGTATATAATAAAATCTACGAGGTATTAAAATCTACGGATCAATTAATGCAAAGAGTATCATTTACATACTACTGCGATGTAACCAGAATAATCTAATATATTTATTTAGGCGTAAAGAACTCAAATTTAAATTTTAATCGGAAAATTAAAGCAAAACAAAAATAAAACTTGAATAAAGTATCATTTCTTGTAAACTTTCTTACAAATTTAAATTTAAATTAGATATCCAATAAAAACTTACAGATTTAATGCAGCTCTGTTACTCACACGTACATGCAAGGAAACGTACTTAGCTCCAAAATTTTCCAGCATTGCTCGAGAAGCTTGGTCCATTAACTTGCGCGCTAATCCTGCAGAAAAACATTTGAGCGTTGTTATGCAAAAAAAAATAATAATAATACTTATCTGCATAAAAAAACACCCGAGGAAGATGTAAATTTATACAGAATGGTCAGATAATTGTCAACTTCCAAAAAATGTTTTCGTTTACGCTATGGAAAGAACCGTTTACCTGTACAATTGTATTAATTAAACATCAAGATATTGGCATAATTGTGACTCCCGATATAAAACTTTCTAACCACTGTTCTTTTATTGCAGGCAAACTAAATTCATGTACTTTTAAAGTTCTTTATCAAAAAATTCAGCTTTTGATAAGACCCTACAAAGTTTATGTTCAATCTATTTTAGAAAAATATACCAGTGTAGAATCTTTATCTTTTAAAAGATATAAGTTAAATAGAAAAGATCCAGAAATATTATAAAAGAATCTGTAAAATGTATCAATCCTTATAAGATTATAATATTTAGTATATTTATACTAAAACTGAATTTTTATTTATTAGTATACTTATACTAAAACTGAAACTATTTTATAAAACATTTTACAAAACAGCAATAAACTTGTTGCTGGTAAGACAACAAGTTCATTGCTGACAAATAAAAAAAGTTTGAAGCTAAAGTTTTATTAAGTCTATACTATTTTGTAAAGCTAGTATTCAGATATAGACAACCTTTCACTCACCCAAACAAAACATAGAAAAATTCACAACTCCTTTTTTAAAAAAAAATAAAACAAGTTTCAAATTTTCTCAACTAATTTTCCAAGTCAGAATTTGGTATATTGTAAGAGTAATTTTATGGAGATCAGCATTTAAAATATCACAACAGGATAGTAATATGAACTTTTTTCTGACTAACTTTTTGATTAGCACTGCTAATTTATAATTTTCAATTAAAATTTTTTAAATAAATTAATAACAAAGTTAAAAATATTATTCAAATACTTTTATAAAGAAAATTATATATAAATTATATTTTTTACAATTATATTTATTTTTGCAAATATTTATATATCATAAAATTAGCCATAAATAATTATCATAATTTATTATGATAATTATTTATGGCTACATAAATAATTATCATAATAAATTATGTTTTATTGTTTATAAATTATGTTTTATGTTTCATTACATAATTGTTGTGCTTATCGATCTTCGATAAGCACAACAATTAAAATAAATAAATATAACTAATAATTAATAAATATAGTGATATAACTATCACAATTATCTTAATTTATGAACTTTTAACAAATACAACAATAAAAAAAATAAGGTTACTAACAAATATAATAATATATCTTTATTAGAAATAACAAATTTAAATAAAGTTAACTAAAATTTTTTCAAAACTTCAAGGTTTTAAATTTCAAATTTAAAGTTTTGTTTTCCTTAAACTTAAAATGTCAAAAAAAGGAGAAAAAAAAAGAAATCTTACTGGATTAAAAAATATATATTTGATTTAACTATAAACAAACATACCCAGTCTTCTATGGGTTCTTTTAACAGCTAGTGAGGTTATATGACCATGGATGTCATCTTCAGATTCTTCTTCCATTTTAGCTAAAACATAGCCAACAATTTTCTTGTTAGCGTCTTCTGCTACGTAGCTAAGCTGAGGCCAAGAAAGTCCGTGGTAAAGGTAGTATTTCATTTGATAATTTTCCGGTAAACATAGTAAATTACAATGCTGCATGTTCATTAAATCCTCGGGAGTGGTGCAGCGAATATTCATTTTATTAAGCAGACAACTAAAATATTTAAACACTACATTTAAAAACCTAATGCTTAAAAAATATTTTATTATTGCATGTTGACATTGTATTTGTATATATACAAAAAATGAGGGGCGCATTAAAAAAAGAATTATTCTTAACAGAAGCTAGACAAAAAAAAAAAAAAATATTGATTCCATTTCACATGTTAATTTTAATGTTTTTACATATCAAAATTTAACATAATTTAACATATCTTTTAAAAAATCGTTTTCCTTTTAACTTAAAGGTTGTATACTTTTTACAAGTATGAGAGTGAAGTGAGTAGAAGTGAAAATTCTCTTTTTTATGGCTGCACCCTAGTTTATTCTAGTACTTAAACTAGAAATTAAAAATAAATTGTAAAAATGAAAAGAATAAGAAGACTATATTTTAGAAATATTATATTAGAAATGTAAAACAAACAATAAATACTTTTGCAATAATTACAAAATGTTCTTTTAAAAATGCCTCAAAAATTATTATACAATATATCCTGAAAATAGTTAAAAAAAAAATTGACTTTGATTTAAGATTTTTTTATCTTGAAATTTATTTAAAAAAAAATATTTTTATGAAAGCAAAATATAACTATCAAAAACATGTGAAAAATGCAGTCTTTAAAAAACTTTACAAATAAATATCAATTTAAAAATAACAGCAAAAATATATATATTTATAATAAAAATATGACAAATGAAAAACTAAATCCCTATTTCCTTTATCTTATAAACAATCAAATTACCATATTTAGTTTAACAATATATATATAAGCAGAAAAAATGTTAAAATATAAAAAAATGTATAAATTATAAATATAAAATAAAGTTAAAAGAAAAAATTCAAAACATAATTTTTGAATTCATTTGAAATTTGAATATGCACTAAAGCAATCCAGAAAGCTTCGAACAGCAGCATAGATGAACTGGTATAGAGCCTAAAAAAACAAATATATATACATACATTTTTTTTAATCACAATTATTTTGTTTATTAAAAAAAAAAAAACACCAAAACACCTGACAAGATGGTAAGTGCTATATATTACAAAAAATTTCTCTCTCAAAAATTATATCTAGTTGGATCTCAAAAGAAGCAAAATTTTGTAAAAAGTTTAAAAAAATAAAATTTTTAAGTAACATTTAGTTTTCTAAAAATTATTGTAAAAAAAACTAACATTAAAAAAAAAAAAAAATTGAAAAAAAGCACATTTTAAGACATTTTTAACAACGCCTTCTTTAAAAAGGTTACATTTGAAAAAGTTCTCTTTAGGTCCAATATCCCCAGTGGAAGTAGGTTCAAACAAAAAATGTCCTAGGCTCATGTCATACTTTTTTGGATCTATACTAACTTCTACTTTCAGAAAATAACACCAATGAAAAAAATTTCGAGGTCCAAGAAAAAAAAATGCATTTTTGTAAACCAAGAAGGCTAGTATTTTACCTTGTATGTTCAATAAATTTTTAACTTGATTATGAATTTTTTGAAGACTGTTGCATATTTTAAAACCTTTAAAATATTCACAAAAGACAGGCAAACATTTTAATTTGGCTTATTTTTATGTGTCAACATTTATCAAGAACATATATGTAATGTTTTGTATTCTAGTTATAGTAAAGAGAATTAGGGTTGGTTTTTATTTAACATTATTTATACATATGTATTGAATTTAATTTTCTTTAACATTTATTTATACATATGTATTGAATTCAATTTTCTTTAACATTTATTTATACATATGTATTGAATTCAATACATATATATAAATAATTATTCATATAAATAAATGCAATACATATATATAAATAATGATTACAATATAGTTTTCTTGTACCGGTATTTCAACTCTAATTAAGTCTAGTACTACGGCTTTTATTCCATTCAAGCTAGAATACCTCGTATGGAACTGATCTCTGAGGGAATAATTTAGCAATCATTATAGATCATTCATATAGATCAATCATTATAGAGAGTCTTTCATTCTTTTCTCTAATAGGAATTGCTTGTGTTGCAATCGTTAATCATGATTCTAATCAAGTGTTAAAAATTATTATCCTGAGGGAATTAATTTTGTAACAATTATTACAATATATTTAAGAAAATCTATGAAAACCAACTACAAAAGTCAACCACTTAACTTGATATTTCCTTTAATATATATGCTAAACTCTACATTTTGTGCCACCAGTACTTCAATGATGCCTAAGCAGGCATTAAACCACAAAGATAACCAAAAAAAAGTTTGCATTGTTTGCTTTGAGAAAAAAAAACAATTAGAGAAATAAATAGCCCAACCTATAGAAGACTTCAAAATCATTTTATTCCACATTTAGACTTGGCTAAGGAACATCCTTTAGGTATCTGTTTGCGCAATTTCTGGAGCTCATTGAAAAAAGTATAAAAGAGCCTGAAACACCATTCAACCATTATTACAAGAAGTCAACCTACATGTAAATGTGCAGTTTGTGTTGTTACAAGGAAAACTTCCCGGGATCAGAAAAATATTGAAAAAAAGGAAGACGAGTATTCACTGAATCAATTTTGCCACCTCCCCTACTCAAATCTGTATGCCAAAGATGTTTATGTACAGTGGGACACGGTTTACCTCACCCCTGCAGTATTTCAATTTGCAGGGATAATCTTGAGACAGGACTGTCTAAAAATTAGTCTGTATCTATATATATAATAATTGTTTAACCTAAAACCATATGTGCAATAATAATTTACATTAAAACCAATAAAATTTAGTATTATGTAGGTACATACAATTTTTGATGGTAAAAATATAATATATCTCAGATGATAAAGGTACAAAGCTTTTTTGTACTAAAATCCTAAACCGGAAACAATCTGAAGTGGATGAAGGTGATTCAATAAAGCTTGGTAATAAAAAGCCTAAACTTTTTAATATTGAAATTCCAAAAAAAAAAACAGAGTTGAAAGCCTTCTTTCCTGAAAACATGGTGCCAGCTAGTGAAGTCACAAGATTCAAAAGTATACTAGGATTAAGCGACTCTCAAACAGAAACTGCTTGTAGTGTACTTAGGAGCTGGAAAGGGAGAGAGCTTTTTGAACCCAATCTAAAAGAAAAACTTGTGTTCTAAAGAAAGACTGTGTTCTAAAGAAATATTTAGTTTACTGTACAAATGTGTCTGAGCTAATAAATCAACTAGTGGAAAAAAGAACTCCAGATTATATTGTAAAGATTGGAACAGATGGAGGAGGATTTTTAATGGTTTGTTCAAGTATTCTTGATTGTGAAGTGAATGAACCTAAAACCAAGTTCTTGTACAAAGAGGGATTAAGCGAGACATTCAAAGAAAAAGGATTCAATTCAAAGAAAAAGGAGTTAAGAAACTTATTATTCTGACCATTGTTAAAGATGTTATAGAGAATCACCAAAACATTAAGCAAATGGTAGAGCTTTTGAGGATTTTCACTAAGAAGTACTTTTAGCATTTGACTTGCTAATATTTATTTTTGCATTTAAGCAGCTTCTTCTACTCACCCCTGCAGTTGTGTGAACTATCAAAGCAAGACATGCAGGATTTTACAGTGACCGCATAAGGTATTTAGGTATTAGTTTGGCATAATAAAACATTTTTTTTGTACAGTCAAAGCATTATTCTGAACATTTTAATTCAGGATTTTAATCTACTTTTTTTAGAACACTTGGTATGAGTAGAGATAATTCAAAACAGTACAAAAAGGCTTGTGAAAATCACATTAAAAAAAAGTAAACTCTCGGCAGCACCATCTAAAAATTGTGTTCAAACTCCTTTGCTAGACCTACTAGATGGTACATCTGCAGCAGAAATCCTTCCTCCAATGGAGTTTCATTTATTTTCTGGAAACACAAACCATTTGTATAACATAAAATAAAATGCTGTCATAAACAGAAACATCAATTTCCATGGATAAGTGGAATAAAGTTTATAAGGCTGATATTGCACAGCAACCAGTTCTAGGGAGGACAGTGTTTAAAGCTTTAAGATAACAGAAACATTAGACAAAATTCTCAAATCCAAGTTGTACCTGATGAATTGAAAATGCTTATGTGTGCAATGAAAGCACTAAATATATTGAAGAAAACTTGCTTTGGTCTAAGTTTGGACATATCTTACAAGTATTATATGAATGCCTACAAGGAAACATATATGGCACTGAACAAAAAAGTATCCCTAAAAGTACACGCTTTAGTCATTCATGTATCCGCTTTTTTGGAATCAATGGCTGACAAATACCCTGGAAAAGGTCTTCGTTTTTGGTCAAAACAGGCTTCTGGATGTATTCATTATGACTTAAAACAGTTTTATGAGCAAGGGTACAAAGTTCCAAGTTGTTACAAACTGTATCAATCAAAACTGCTGAGATCGGTTATTGTTTATAATAGTAGACAGGCACAATTCAAGATTTAATTTTAAAGGAGACATGTTTTTAGAAAACTTATACATATTTTTAATCTTATATTTGTAATTCATATGTAATTAAATATCAATATGATAAATATCTAAACCTCAATATGGTTTCCTTTGTCATAGGAAATATTTAAATAGCTATTTAAAATATAAATATTCTAGCATTTTAAACCTTATAAAGATATTGAGCTTGACCAACGCATTAAAATTGTTTTTTAACATTGAGGAATAAAATCATATGAAGTGTTCGTTCAATAACTTAGTAACCAGTAACTTAGTAACTATAATTGATATAAAAACATATTCCCGTCAAATATCTGTCTATTGCAAATATATTCCCCAATTAAGAGCATATTCCCATCAAAAATATGTCTATTGTGAACATTTTAAAGCTTTTAAAATATGTAATATATATATATATATATATATATATATATATATATATATATATATATATATATATATATATATATATATATATATATATATATATATATATAGGGCTATTCTAGGAAAATAACTTGGGCGGAGGTATCCCTGTACCGGCACCTTTCCATAAAGAAATTTGTAATTTTGTAATTTTTTCATGAAAAAACAAAATTTACCTTAATAAAAACAACTATCAAAACATTAAATATTAATCACATAACTACAAATGTTCCTATTACACAATGAATTTAAAGTTACATTATTTTTAGATACAAGAACTGGAAAGCAGTTGAAAAATACTTTAAGGCTTCATAAAATTTTACAAATATTTTATGTTAACTGAGAAAGTGTTTCTCAATAATATCAACATTATTACAAAAAACAGAATTTTCAAAATTTGAGGATTTTTATTATTATACGCACTTTATTTTTAGATAACCAGAGTAACCAGGTGTTGTTAACCAGAGTAGCATTAATTAATCAACGAAAAAATTTTTGCTTATTTTTTCTAATTTTAACAACAAAATATCAATATAAACAAAACAAAAAATAAGTCAATCATTAATAAAATTTATATAAGAAATTTAAAAATATTTGTAAAAACTTTTACTCACAAGAGTGTTAACAATTGCTATGCGCTGAGTTCTCATTGAACGGATAGTCTGGAATACATCCACCATAGCTTCATGTTTTATCCGCTCTAAACAATACATAAGAGCAGCCAAAGTTCCACTGCGTCCTGACCCATCACTGTAATTAAAAAAATATTGAGCCATCAGTAACAAAAACAATGAGCAGTTATTTTAACTATTTTAGCAGTTTAAATATTAAATAGTAATTAATATGTTTATTTAATATGTTAATTAAATTATTAATATGTTAATTAAACATTAAATAATACTTAAATTTTATCTTTCTATATACTTTTTACTGTAAACATGGTATTTTTAAATTTTATTAGTTTTATTTTATAGTTTTAACAGTACTGATATTTAACAGTACTTTAAAAGTTTGGTATTTTTATATTTTATTAGTTTATTTTGATTCATTTCATAGGTTCAATGTTATTTTTATATGCTTTAGAATAAAGAGATGCATGGAGAATGCATTAAATGCAAGATGGAGACTGAATTAAAATTAGCTGCTAGTAAATATACCTGCAATATATGGGAATAAAAAAGTTATATACCTGCAATGTGTGATGTTATGTACCTGGAATGTATGATAAAAAGCTATGTACCTGCAATGTATGATAATAGACCCATTGCCAGTTTTCTGCTGGATGTTCTGTAGCTGACCAATCATCTCTAGAATATTAGCAATATTTGGTGCTTCATCTTCAGGCCAATCAAAAAACATTAAATGTGAAACAGTCCGAGATTCCCCATTCTAAAAAAAAAAGCGCTTAATAAAACAAAACAAAACAAAACATATATATATATATATATATACATATATATATATATATATATATATATATATATATATATATATATATATATATATATATATATATATATTTATATAACTATATAATATAATATACTATATAAATACATAAAAACATATGCAAAATAAAAAAAATATATAAAAACAATAAAGATGACCTTTGAGTTAGTCACAATGAACTCTCTTTTTACAAAACCAGTTTTTTCTTCTTCTGCAGCAATTTGAACTCTTAACAGATCAAAAACAGCTGCTTCATTTTTGATTGGCCAGTATGGATAGCAATGGTGCTTAAAAATAAAATGCACTTAATCAGTTGAAAAATTTAAAAAGAAATACAAAAAGTATTTTAATTTGAGATAAAGGATAGTGAGATAATTAAGAATAAATCAGGTTTTTTTCCTTTTTTCCAAAAAAAAAAAGAAAAAAAAAAAAAAGTCTTTGCAACATTTAAAAAAATAAATACATTTAAAGATTAACACAAGTTCAAATGAGTAAACAATTGCTAATAATTTTAAAAAAATTAAGATCCAGGAACTAGATATATTTTTACTACAAGAAATAACAAGTCTTGACATTTTAAATGTAAAAAAAAATGACAGCTGTTTGACAGAATTTTTCGTCTGTGAAAAACCAGAAATTAATGCAAGTATATCAAATAAAATTTAACTATCATGTGCAGAAGCCAAATAGGTCATCAATAAAAGCAGTGTTAAAGCAGTTGTTAACTCTCTTGTCCAGAGATTATCCAGGTCATATTTTAAAAATCTAGAATTTCTTTTTTTGTGCTTAAAAAGAAATTTATTACTTGTACTCACATACAAATAATGTGCATCTACAAATAATATAAAAATTATTTAGATGTAAAAATGTTTAAATATTTTATTTTTTTGATTAAGGAAATCAGTGTTACAGTTGACGAGGTTGTGGGTTTAAAGTCTCTTAGAAGCCTCTTAAATGTTACAGTTGACCAAATCCAAGGTTATGGATTTAAAGCCTCTTAGAGAACTTGTTTTTTTAACTGTTTCAAATGTTTTATATTTTTTAACTATTCTTGTTGTTTATAAACTATTTTTTTTTTCATTCTTGTTATTTATCAACTATTATTATTTTTTCAAGTTTCATAGAAAAAGTACATCAATGAGTACATAAATCGGCCACAAGTTACAAAAATAAAATTTAAGCTTGTATTTTCAGAAAACTACTTGGATATCTGAAAAAAATAAAATTTTAAAGAAGTATCCTGATTTTTGAAAATATCAGGAAAAAGATAGCTTTATACTTTCCTACATCAAAATTCATGCAGCGGGTGTGGACAAACTTAATTAGTCGCCAAGATCCTCTTGGAGAATTTGGTAGTCAGGAGTGTTTTTTTACACGCTATTAGTTTTGTGTTGTATTAGCTTGAAAAAGTTACAAGTGAGGTCTGGCATGTCAAAGATCACAAGGAGGATAAACCCTAGTGCAGAATTCTACTAAGGGCCTTTAACAAATCAGAGTAGTTACCTTGTATGACTTGTGGCTATTTAAGAAAGCTGCTATTCAACTACAGGTGCATGCATCACAGCCATACTTAGCCATACATGCATAATTTGACAAATAAAAATGAGTGACTAACTTTATCATAAGTTTTAGCAAATTTAAAAGAATAATGATTTCTAGATGGGATCCAAGCATGTTCAAGATGATTTCAAAAGTTTAATTTCTTATTTAAACAATAAATGAAAATAAATTTATTAAAACTACTCATGAAAAACACTACACTACTGTAAAATACAATTTTAGAAAAATTAAACATAATAAATTTAAAGAAGTTTTTAAAAAATTTAATAACTTTAAAAGAATAAATAAGTAATTAACATCTCAGTATTCTCAGATATAGTGACGTGTGGACATTGTAGACAATGAAGAAGGCTCAAATAAAACTGTTTATAAGCCATCATCATCAATTTAAACATTATAAACATCTTAATTAGAATGAAACACATAACTAAGGTAGAGCATTTATCTAACTTAGAGAATTTAAATGTAAAGCATCTAATAAGCATTTAATCTATTGACCAGAGAGTGTATGACCATGTCCATACACCCTAGCGGTTTCAGAAAAAGAGCCACTATTTTAATTCAGTTATAGTTTATTGCAATAATTTATTACTCATTTAATATACTACCTAACTTATAATTTTTTAGTTAGAAAAAAACTTCCAAGATAGCTGGTCAATGATCAAAGAAAATAAAATTTTCAAAACATATTTTGTTTTACAAAAAAAAAAATTACAATAGAAAAAAATTAAAGATTTCACCTTGTCTCTCTCTTTTACACTTGAAATCATGACAAGTGAAAAAACCTCATACTCCCAGACCATCCTCCAGAAATCATGAATAGATGTTTCCAACGGTGCTTGTGTTAAAATATAAGCTTCACGCTGTTGGTAACCCTGAAAATAAAAAGTGGATTAGGAAGAGCATTTTCATGAATTTCAAAGCAAACAAGAAACAATAAATATTATACAGACTGCTAGCTTCTTAGCTGAATAATAGATAATCAAAAATATCACTGATTTTTACAGTTACCACTTCAAATCAGCAAACATTGTTAGATTATTAATTGGCTTTGTACAAAATACTGGAGGTATTTAACTATAAAGTTTGTTTTAAAGAAAATTTAAATACCTATACAGTCAAAAAAAAATTTTAATTGTAATAAATATATTTACTTCAAATTATATTATATTAATCATAACATACATACAAATAACACACATACACCTACATGCACATGATAAGTTTAAGAAACTTTTATGGTAAAAAATCTTAAACCGCTATTAGCTAATTGATTTTAATTTAATTAAGGTTCAATCCAGTAGCTAGCCTCTTTTAACTCCTTTGTTTTTTCAATAAATATAAATTGTGTACAAAACATTGTACACAATGAACAGCTCACTACTTACAACTAACTTCACAAATCAGATTTAACAAACATGTAAAAAAATAAATAATGTAAAAAACCTAAAAAACATGATGACATGTATTAATTACATTAGTAATGCTTAGTATATGTTCTGACTTGTATGTGTTATTTACTTATTATTATTTGTTTTATAACAAACAAAATAAATACAAAAAACTTAATCTTTATTACTTTTAAATTTATTTAAAATCAAAAATCTTTTTAGACATCCTGTAGTATTATAACTATTGCTAGAATACTATTGAAATCTAATATAAAAAAAATTTAAATTTATTTAATATAAAAAGATTTTTAACACAAGTTATTGCAAAAAAGATTATAAAAATTAGACACATGCAAGTTAGATATACACATAACGCATGCAAGTAAGATGTATAACTGTAGCTTACATCAATAAAGCTTGCATTAATATAATCTGAACCTTCAACTTCAGGAAAAGGCCAGAGTTTTACACGAGTAGATTCATCTAAAAATTCAAATCTTATATTAAAAATATTACTTAATTTTTTTTTATTGAGGATAAATTTCAATAAAATAAAAAAATCATAATCTTTATAGACAGGATAGAAAATGCATAAATATATATACATTTGCCCAAGAACATAGATTAGTATTTGACTTTATGAAAATCCTGGAAAATTATTTTATTAAAAATTGATTGTTTTAACTGAAAACAAAAACTTTCGTAAACTTTTAAAACTTTTTACAAAAAGGAACTTCTAATATTCGGAAAAGTTAATTTGAATAAATTAAAAAGCAAAAGAAAAAAAAAAAATTGTTACGAAAATTGATCTTGTGAAAATTTTAACTATAGAAAACATATTTGTTTAAATGCAAAAGTTGTCGTTTTTAAAATTTTATGTAAAAATTTATAATTTTTAAAACAAATTAATAAAAAAAAAAGCATCTGGAAATTTCTGGAAAATTAAAGGAGTTTTAAGTGAATTTCCGGAAATTCCCGAAAAAAACTCATCTATGTAAAAAATGCTTTTTTGCATAATAAGCTTTTTCTTAAGTTGTATGCAATATCAATTCATACAATTAAAAAAAAAACAAAATAAAATAAAAATTATTGAATCATCAAGTAAAGTATAAAAAATATAAAAACAATACAAATTCAGAAAAATTTGAAAATACAGAAATCTACAATTCCATTAAATAACTTACTTGATTATCAATAATATAAATGAGAAATATGATTTATTATCTAATGAGAAAATTACTACAAATTTATTTTTTATATAACAAATTATGTAAATAACATTGAAACTAATGAGATAAAAAACTTACAAGGAAGTACATCATTAAATCTATTTTTCTCTATGTTAGCTGGCAAAATTGCAGATTCATATGAGCTATTTATTTCAAGATTTAAATCT